AAGGACATCAACAATAAGCTCTATCTTCTCCAGGCTGACTTGGGGTATGTGAATCCCAGTAACGTCAGCAGTAGGCTTTCCGAAGCCTACTGCTTCTTCAATCTTTTCACCAACGTCTTGGATGAAATCCTTAACCTTGTCAAAGAAACCTCCCTTCTCGTCGTCGTCATGTCCATCGTTGTCTTTGTCTACTTTCCTTTCTGTCACTTTTGGACTATCTGAGGATGACATGCTTTGATACAGAGAGAGAATTTGAGATATTGGATTCCAAGAGTAACAAAGAAATGTTGCACACATAAAACAACGGCATTAGTTCCACAGAGAAAATCGTTTATTCTATTAAAACAAACCCAAAATGTGCATAAATCAAATAATTAAGACGATGAGTTTTGGTGCTAATGGTTCAGGACAATTAAGGTTACGTTAACAGAGAGCAACACAGGTGAAATTAAAAAATTTCCACCACACGGGAGGGCAACTAAAATGGCAACCATAAAAATGTTGATATAAGATAAAGGACAGATAAGAGCTAAACATCCCGTAGATACATTTAAAGTCAATGTTTAGACCTTACCCAAAAGGTCAAGTGTTCTTAACCTTTTGATATCATGAAAATTCACTAGCTGCAATGGTCAGATTGAAAGATTTTGATCGGCATTATTGGACGGACTGTTTGAAAACCGGGGCGCGGTAGCACCATATTATGCCAACCAAGTGGCTAGTCCTTTATAAAACACTAACTAGGTAGCATGTCGATGAGATAAAATGCCCAACTCATTTTGGGCATTGGGAGTTCTTGGCCACCAGTTTAACGTCTCTCTCCCTTGTGATTTTGTGGCTACAAAAACCAGGCGCCTCCTTAATGTCCATCCTACTTCAATGAACTACTCAAATGCACGATTAAAGGAGCTGGGAGCCTGTGGGATCATCAATCTAATGCTGAAATAAGTAGATCAACAAAATTTTGGGCTCAAATCCTTGGTTGGACCAAAACAATTGGGCGCCCAGCCCGAACCAAAAATCGCCGATCCAGTGTCCTTCCCGACAGCAAGCAAAGCGATCACGCAGACGTACGCAGGAGACAGAAACGGCGAGCGGCCACCATCGATCACGGAATGACCAAATCGTGGGGTGGGCAGTAGTAGTTTACCTGCCGTCGACGGCCGGAGACGGAGACGGAGGAGGCAGCCTTCGAGGCGCAGAAGCAGAGGAAGAAGTTTGTGGTGGTGGAAGGGAGGAACACAGGAGTTTGTGGAGGGATGGATCGGAGCGAGGAAGCCGTGTTGCCGCCCCGTGGAAAAATCCAAAGCGATGGCTGCCAGTAATTACCGGCTTCAGCGACGGTGGCCTGCCCAGGCCAGAGCTAGCTAATTGGGTTACCTAAATTTGATTATTGGCTTTGCAACGCTCCGTCTGCCACGGAATTTCCTATTGTACACTAATATATATATATATATATATATATATACACGGAGAGTATATTCAGTAGCCAGCTACAAAATAAGTTATTATGTAGCCACCTCCATTTACGATAATTTTATATACTAATTTACGATAATGTCAATATATATTTACGATAGTTGGGTTACTATAACATATGTGGATATTTACCATAACGTTATAGTAAACAACTTAGTAAGGAGTTACTATAATCTCATAAATTAACATAGTAATTATCGTAACTCAAAGTGACTACAGAATAAGTTATTTTATAGCCAGCTACAGGGTAGTAGTTCTCCCTCTCTCTCTATATATATATATATTTCAAGAAAAATGCTAATATATATTGTTTCTTAAATATATTTATTTGTGAATTACACCAGTACGGACGGAAATGTTCAAAGATAAGAAAGAACAAATTAGGCTCACAGCCATCAACCCAATAGCATCTTCAAAAAGGTCCAAGAATATAGCTCGCATGTTAAAAGCCCATAAAGGCAGCCCACATAAATCAATATTGACTGGGCCAATGTTGATCAGCTAATTATGAACTATATTTTGGTCTAAATGATTTTATAGTGATTTTGCAGTAGTTCACAATGTGGATAAAAAGCCCAAGATGGCAGTTCACAATTATGTGGGCTATGTGGATAAAAGCTCATGAAATCAGTTCACGGTAAAGGATTTATTGAAATTTTTTAAATTTTTTATTTTGTTTGTTTCAAAAATTAATTGCTCCAACAATAAATTTGCAAACATATAGCCAATTGAAATGACGGAAGTCAAATGTCACAATTCAACTAGTAAAACTTCTCTCTCCATCAGTTGATTTCGCTAAATATTCTTTTGAGCACAACGTATCTCAAGACAATCATAACTTCTACATGGTTTGGATGAAGATAAAATTCATATACAAATTATAGACCTCAACAAGATATCGAACTTTTTAGTTTATATAAATATTTGATTAGCCATATAGATATGAAATAAATTATTCAAATATTCATATCTAGCTATAAGCTATAGTTCATAGATTTGTAACAATTACTTTGTATCAAGATAGAAATGTGTAGATGCCGTTAAACATTACAATTTTCATTTTAACATTATCTTCTTGTGAGTTTATATGTAAAAGTTATGATGTTTTTAAGATATTCCTCACTAGCTAATGGATAAATTGAGGAAATTTACTCGTTCCCCTATGTAGCATATCTTTTTCATAGAAGTCATAACTTTCATTATGACATCGTACTATGGAATCGCAAAAAAAAAGACATCGTACTATGGAAATAACAATTATATAACAATTGTACTATTAAATTGGCTTGTGCAACTTTGTACTCGATCATAACATTTTCATTTCAAGCTGTCATGAAGCCAAAACAATTAATACATATTATGTTTAGTTTTACAAATATAGATCTGAATATTTTAAGTGCCAAAATGTCTTCTAACAAGAGAAAATCGTGTCAACTTTTATAATTTTCATATAAATTTTATCTCCATTCAAGTTTATATGTAAAAGTGGTAATCTTTTTTAAGATGCATAGTGAAAAATATAAATTTTTATTAACCCAATTTGTAACAAGGTAGATTCCACTAACTACATTGGCACTATTTGATTTCAGCCATTTCAAGTGAGGTACAAGTATAATTTTGCATATATTTTTATTAAATATATGTATAATAAGAAAAAAGGCCTAGTAGTAGCCCACAATCATCAACCCACAACATCCTCGAAAAGGTCTAAGAATTTAGCCCCCAAGTTAAAAGCACATAAAGGCAGCCCACATAAACCAATATAACTGGGCCAATGTTGATCAGCTAATTATGAACTATATTTGGTCTAAATGATTTTATAGTGATTTTGCAGTAGTTCACAACGTGGATAAAAAGCCCAAGATGGCAGTTCACAATTATGTGGGCTATGTGGATGAAAGCCCATGAAATCAGTTCACGGTATAGAATTTATTGAAATTTTTATATATATTTTATTTTGTTTGTACCCAAAATAGTTCCTCCAATAATAAATTTGCAACAACATAATCCTACCGTTGTTAATTGAAATGACAGAAATCAAATGCCACAATTCATAACTTCTATATGTGTTTGGATGAAGATAAAATTATAGAGCTCAACAAGATGTAGAGCTTTTTTAGTTTATAAATCATTTAAAGCCGTATGGATATTATGAAATAAATGATTGCAATATCCATATCTATAAATTGTAGTTCATAGATTTGTAACAATTATTTTGTATCAAGATCTATCCAATTTGTAAGAAGGGAAATTCCGCTAACTGGAGTGGCATTTAATTTCCGCCATTTCAAGTAGGGTCGAAGTATAACTGTGCATTTTTTTTTGTTAGAGTAATTATTTTTGCAAGAAAACGAATTTAAATAAAATATGGAAATGAAAAAAAATTATGATATATAGTTAGTTCATTCATACCAACTGGCCAGTGTTGATCAACTACTTTATGAACTATACTATATTTTGGTTCCAAAAAAAAAGATTTTCTGGTGGTTCTTTTTTCAGGCTGACCACGGAGAATGCACGAGTGTGTAACGTGAGTACAACGTGACGGACCGATACTCAGCAGCCCAGATCGGCGTGCTACGTTACGTACTCCCAGTCCCAGAAGAACGGCACGCAACGTTTGTGCTAGGCCGGCCTAGTCTCGTGGGCCGGGCCTTCTCTTATCGTGTCGTCCACGCCGCCTCGTCCCCTATCTCGCCGCGTCGTGTCCCCCTCGTGGACCGTGGTGTGCTGTCTTGCCGCCGGGCGCCGGCAACTCGACTCGGCTCAACAAGCCACGCAACCTCCGCCGGTCCGCCGTACTCTGCTGCCGTCAAGAGAAGCGTCGCCGCCCCTGCCCTCTCCGCCGGCACGGTGCAGGGTGGAGAGCCGCCCGGGCTCGGATTGACTGGCGTGCGCTCCTCTTCCTCGCGTTCGTAAGTAACCCTAGCATCCTGACAGATGAGAAATTCTCCTTTCTCTGCGTCACCAACTGAATCGACACATTTACTTCTTCTCGTTCTGTTAATTAGCCGGATACTTGTTTGCGTCTGATTGCAATTCGGTCGCAGCTACTTCGCTGAACATATACATCCGTTTGTTCACAAACAGACCACCTCCAAAATTAGGTGACAAGCTTCGTATCTTACATGTTGTTTCCGCAATTCAAAGTGGGTTTTGCTGCAAAAGAAATCGTGGTAGATAGATTTTAGCTTAGAGAGGTCATACAAGGTCTGGTTTGAGTGCCATTTAGACCTTTCTGACTGCTACAGACTTCTTAATTCATTTGTGGTGCTTGGGGTATGGGAAGCAGCAATACAAACTCCACTCAAATCAGTCCCCAGCTTCAATTTCTGGAGCCTGTCATGGTTGTCACTGAAAGAGGGGGTGGGGGGATCTTCATAGTCGTCAATCTGGACATAAAACTAGGGATTCTGATTTTATCTTCTATGTAGATATTTGTACATCAGGTAGGTACATTAAACATGTTCTAATTTTAGGTTTTGTTGTTTCAGAAAGTTATGTGCTAGACATTGATTGCCATGTCAACACGTAGGGAGGTTGTCTCGTATCACCCATTGCCTACACCAGGCGTGGCAAACAGCCTCAAGGATGAGATCCAGTCAACAGTTACGGAACGGTTAGCAATGCGATCAACTCCTTTGATCCAAATGCGTTGCCTCGGCATATAGAAGGGCATTGGGTACAGCTGGAAACTTCATTAACTCATTCGAGCTGAAATGGTCTGGGAAAAAGGAGTTTGATTTTAATGGGGAAGCTGATTTCCTTGATGGATACCAATGCCCTGATGAATATTGGGGCTCTGCACCTGTGAGCGCACAGAAACCAGTTAACATTAAGAACCTGCTGGGCGGGCGTTATTGCGATAATCGGTCGCAACTTGAGAAATACTGAAGTTGAACAGCCAAAGGACACTAAGACCAGCGTCTCATTCCTTGGGTCAAGTGATGATGGTAACACATTCTTGCACTCCTCAGTCTATATGCCGAGTGCTCCACCAGTGCTTGATGAAGAAGCCTTGAATTACAACATTTATCGGGCTGTGCTGGAAGCAGAGCCACCTGATTGGCTTCCTGACAGTTATGCTAGCGCGTGTATGCAGTGCGCTGCTCCTTTCACTGCCCTCACCCGTGGAAGGCATCATTGTCGATTCTGTGGAGGGATATTTTGCAGGGCATGCTCAAAGGGGCGATCTCTGTTGCCTGCCAAGTTTCGTGAGCGGAATCCGCAAAGAGTCTGTGATGCTTGTTATGATAGGCTTGATCCATTGCAAAACTTATTGATTAATTCTGTCAGCAATGCCTCACAAACTGCAAAGCATGATGTTATGGATTGGACTTGTGCAAGAGGGTGGTTAAATTTACCCATCGGGTTAACCATGGAGCATGAGATTTACAAGGCAGCAAATACCCTGTTGAGTTACAGCCAGGTTCCTGAATTTCATTTCTTATATTCTGTATTTGCATGTTAGTGCTTTGAACAAGTTAGAATCTGAATCTAATAAACCCATTAAAAAAATCTCAATGCAGGTAGCAAGAATAAACCCTGAGAAGTCTATTCCCCATGCAGTTCTTAGTGGAGCAAGTGGGCTTGCCATATTAACAGTTGCAAAAGCTGGTGCTATTCTTACTTACAAACTTGGAACTGGCCTAGTAGTTGCTCGAAGATCTGATGGATCATGGTCTGCACCATCTGCTATACTTTCAGCTGGTTTTGGATGGGGAGCACAGGTTTGTATGGTCAACTTCTAATTCTTCACTTGATAAATCATAAATGGCACCACCTTCTGTTGTACTGCAAATGCAGTGTTGATGTTTTTATTTCCATAGCTCGCTGTGTGGTATTTTCTTAGGAACTACGAACCTCACTTATTATATGCTTATGACAGCTTCAGTGTGGTATATTTTAACTATATTTATGTCTTCACTATTTAATACCAGTGGTTTGCTACAAATGAAGAATTGTGATCACAGGAATTATGCAGACAAGGATTCATCACTCTTTTTTGCTTCTTATGAGTTCTGTTTAGCGGGCACAAAATGATATGATGTTCTTTAATTGATTATAACTATTTTGCCTATGGCCTTCCAAATTTAGGGGAAGGAATGAACATGAATGGAATCCACCTTGTCAAGCTAATTTAAATTTAGGGACTAAATCGTGACTTATTGTGCTGCCTGGGGTTCTGCATGCTCTCATTCATTGAGAAACATGTGTTTGAATCTTGCTGCTTTTTGTAGAAAATGGTACAACCATGATATCTTATGTGGCTAGCCTCATGAGTTTTATGACAGTACATATTTGTGCTTGATGGATAAGTCTCATGTGTGGTCTTTGTGGGGCTGTACTGCTCACATGGTCCTTGTGGTTGTTTTTCTGCTTTTAGGACAGCATCTTAGACTAGAGGACAGCAGGACAGCATCTTAGAGGACAGCATCTTAGACTAGAGGACAGCATCTTAGCTAGGACAGCATATTAGCATCTTAGACTAGCATCTTAGACTAGCATCTTGGCATATGCTTGGCTGGCTAGCAGCCTATAAATATGTAACCCCAACCCCTCAGGTTGGCATGGCATTTGAGTAAGAAATAGACAAGAAAATTGCCCCAACTCCTAGTATCATCCTCTCTCGATGAGAGTAAGAATTATCCTACTACCAAGAGTGAGAATTCAGCGACTAACAAGTGGTATCGGAGCCGATTATCTCTGAGCTTTGAGCATCTCGCTCATCTCCTCTCCCAGCCACACTATGACCCCAGTGCGGCAACAAGCAGCGCAACTCAAGCGCTCTCTGCTCGCTCCCTCCCAGCAGACGAGCGGCTCGTGCAAGCAGCCCTCTCCCACGCAGTTGAGCCCCCGGTAGCGCGTCATGTCCGCATGAGGCGATCTCGGCCTTCGAGTCGCCTCGCGCCGCTTGGCGAGAACCCGAGAGAGGAAGAGGCGAGCGAAGCAGCAGAGCGGCGGAAGAAGGCGGCAAGTAAGTGCGCCGAGCGTCGGTAATGGCAATGAGCGGGCAGCAGAATGCAGAGCGAGGCGGAAGCAAAGGGCGGCTGGCGGCGGCGAATCGCTAGGCGGCGGCGGCGGCGGAGGTCGAGGCTCTGGCAGCGACATCGGCAGCTCCATTTCGGCGAGCGACACCGCGACGCGGACCTCGGTGCTAGAGAGGGAGGTAGGCATGAAGCCTTGCTGGCGGCGCGATGATGGCACCAGACACGCCCACGCGTGGCGGCGGCCAGACGATATGGCGGACGCGCGGTGGCGCTCTGGAGAAAAGCGCGACACGGCGGCGGCGCTCCTTGAGGAGGCGCGCACGGCAATGGTGGCGGACGGGTCGATGGAGAGCGCGGCCTTCCACAGAGCGGCGTGGCTCTCTCTCCCGGATCGGTGCACCGACGGGTCGATGGAGAGCGTGGCCTTCACAGCAGGCGGCGTGGCTCTCTCTCCCGGATCGTGTACCGTGGTTACCACGGGCTCCAGTCGTTGTCGGGGACGTCGGTCCGGCGGTGGGTGGCCTACCTCACCAAGACCAACTACGTCGAGTGGGCTGCGGTGATGAGGGTAAAGCTCCAGGTGCGGCACATGTGGGAGGCAGTCCGGTACGACGACGTCGACTACGACCTAGATCGACGGGCGCTGGATGCGCTCATCGCTGCGATCCGCTTTGAGATGCGATTCTCGCTTACAAAGAAGCGGATCGCCAAGGAGGCTTGGGGCGCCATCGCCTGCTGCGACGCATCAGCGGCGACCGCGCCCGCAAGTCCACACTGCGCAGCGCCGCAAGGAGTGGGAGAACACAGCCTTCAAGCCGGTGAGGGCGTTGATGACTTTGCTCTCGTCTCAACACTCATTGCGAAGATGGTGCGGTTCGGCGGCGACACTTATGGCGAGGAGAGGCGTCGAAAAGCTCTTCCGCTGCGTCCCCGAGAAGTATGCAGCGAGATGGCTCGCTCGATCGAGTCTCTGCTGGATCTCTCACGATGTTGATCGAGGAGGCGATAGGTCGCCTCAAGGTCGTCGACAGCCGATGAGCCTGATCCCTCTCGGGGCCCATCACCATGGCGGGAAGCTCCTTCTCACTCGGGAAGCGGTGGCTTGCCGGCTAGGGTGACCGGAGGAAGGGGAGCCTTCTTCCGCGACAGTGACGCAAGCGTGGCAAAAGCGCAAAGGCGCGCAGAGATGCCAGTGAAGCGCGAGGACGTCTGCGAGGTGATGCCATGAGGCGCCAGTGGCGGCGCCGGCACGGCAGTACAAGCCGCAAGACGAGCGACACTCGCCGCAGAATCGCGGCCGGCTTGGCCATTGGGCCAGGGATCGTCGGCAACCACGCGGCCAGCCCACGTCGCCTGACGGAGGAGGAGGAACCGGCTCTGTTCATGGCACATGCCAACGATCGAGCTACCTCCGGCGGCACCGCCGCAGCTGGTTCTCCTCCACCTTTGAGCCAAAAGCACATGCCCTCCTCGGCGGCGGCTCTCGGCAGCGACAAGATTGACGGGTGGTGCCTCGACACCGGCGCCACCCATCACATGACCGGTCGACGGGAGTTCTTCACCGAGCTTGACTCTAGCGTCCAGAGGCTCCGTCAAGTTTGGGGATGCCTCCGGCGTGGAGATCAAGGCGTCGGCTCCGTCATCTTCACTGCGTGTCACGGTGAGCACAAAGTACGCTCACCGGAGTCTACTACATCCCAGCGTTGAGGAACTCCATCATCGACTTGGGACAATTTGGATGAGAATGGTTCGCAGCGTGGTGGTTGAGGATGGAGTCATGAGGATTTGGGATCGCCGTCGCCGCCTTCTTGCCAAGGTATCCGAGCGCCAAATCGACTCTACATCCTTAACGTGCGGTGGCAACCCCCCCTCTCTCGCCGCTCGTCGGGATGACGAGGCGTGGCGCAGCGGCACAGCGCCGGGCACCTTCACTTCGAGGCCACAGGCGGCTCGGTGCCACGGAGATGGTGCGGGCTGCCGTCCTCTCGACCATGTGGAGCAGCTCTGCGGCGTCTGCGTGTTGACGGCGAGGCGACTCCCCTTTCCACGGCGGGCTAGCCGAGCCAAGGAGAGGCTCGAGCTTGTGCCGCACGGGACTTGTGTGGCGGTGACACGGCCACACCGGAGGACGACGCGCTACTTCCTGCCGCTTTCGTCGGCGACCCTCTCCGCTACATGTGGGTGATGGTCCTCGGGCGACAAGGGAGAGGTCATGGGCGCCATCGCGTAGCAGGCTCGCTGGAGGAGGAGCGAGTCTGAAGCAAGGCTGCGCGTCTTTCTTGCCAGACCGACAACAACGGCGGCGAATTCACGGCTGGTGAATTCGGCGTCGTCTTCGCGCGCCGACGAGGGCATTCAGCGCCACTACTCCGCGCCGTCTGACCCGCAGCAGAAGAGCGGCGTCGTCGAGCAGCGCAACCAAACGGTTGTGGGGATGGCTCGGGCCCTCCTCAAGCGAGGGGATGCGGTTGTCTTCGAGGAGAGAGGCGGTGGTGACGGCCGTCTACATCCTCAACCGCTTCGCCTACCAAAGGCGCTCGGCGGCAGGGCGCGTGACGAGGCTTGGCATGGGCGCAAGCCGGCGGTCTCCCACTGCGGGTCTTGGTACGCCTCGCGTTCGCCAAGGAGCTTGGCCACATCAGCAAGCTCGACGGCGGGAGCACTCGGGAGTGTTCGCCGGCCACGCGGAGGGCTCGAAGGCCTACCGCATCCTCGACCAAGAGAACGGCGGCGTGCGCGCGGGCGCTTGCGACGTTGTGTTCGACGAAAAAAAGCGAGGATGGGCGTGGGGAAAGCGGTGGGCGATGAGCTCGGCTCCGACGACGCTGGCGACTTCTTTGTCGAGTACGTCCACTTTGAGGGAGCTGGGGAGTAGGTAAGCTCTTCTTGGCGAAAGCGCGTCTACCCGAGCCCCCGAGCCTCCACCGACCCCGGCGCTGCTACTCCGGGACAAAGACCACGCTCTCAACCGGGACCTCGGGCTGCGATGAGTTCTTCGCCGGCTCCACCACGGCCCGCAACGCCCGCACTCTCAAAGATCGAGCAGCACCTCTCCCGGCACGTCTACTCCAACTCGTGTCGAGCACAGCCCGGTTGAGCTCGCTACTCCGCTCTCTCACGACGAGGAGCGCATCGACGCGTACCACGACGGCGAGCCATTGCGGTACCGTACGATGGAGAACCTTCTCGGTGACCAGCCGGTGCCGGGACCGGTGCCTCATGACCTGGAGGCGCAGTTGCACCTTGCGTGCGACGACGGCGAGCCTCGGTCGTATGCAGAGGCCGAGAGACACGCGGCATGGCGCGCCGCGATGCAGTTGGAGATGGATGCGGTCGAGAAGAACCGCACCTGGGAGCTTGCTGACCTTCCTCGTGGTCACCGCGCGATCACCCTTAAGTGGGTGTTCAAGCTGAAGAGGGATGAAGCCGGTGCCATCGTCAAGCACAAGGCTCGCTTGGTGGCACGAGGTTTCGTGCAGCAGGAGGGGGTCGACTTCGACGACGCCTTTGCTCCCGTGGCACGGATGGAGTCCGTGCGACTCCTCCTTGCGCTAGCTGCCCAGGAGGGCTGGCGTGTTCATCACATGGACATCAAGTCGGCGTGCCTTAACGGCGACTTGAAGGAGGAGGTCTCACGTGCACCACCCGGCCGGGATTTGCGATCCCGGCAAGGAGGGCAGGTGCTCCGCTGCGCAAGGGCCCCTCTATGGCTTTTGCGGCGAGCACCGAGGCGTGGAATGCCAAGTTGGATTCCACGCTAAAGGGATGGGCTTCGAGCAAAGCCCCGACGAGGTGACCATCTACCGGCGGGGCGGTGGAGGAACCGCTCTTCTGGCTGGTGGGTGTCTCGTCGACGACTTGGTGATCACCGGCACCAAGGATGTGGAGGTGGCGACATTCAAGGAAGAGATGAAGGCCACCTTCCGGATGAGTGACTGGGCCTCTCTCCTTCTATCCGAGCATCGAGGTGCACCGAATGACTCGGGATCACACTTGACGGACCGCCACGCCAAGCGCGTCGTTGAGCTAGTTGGGCTCACCGATCGCAACCCAGCTCTCACTCCGATGGAGGAGAGGTGAAGGCGAGCCGCGACAAAGAGACGACGGAGGAGGTGGACGCCCTTCTAGCGAGACCGGCGTCTTGTGGGGAGCCTTCGCTACCCTACCCCACACACGGCCGGACTTGGCATTCTCCGTCGGCCACGTTAGTCGGTTCATGCGGCGACCGACGGCGAGCACCAAAGCAGTTGTGAAGAGGATCATCCGCTATGTTATGGGACTCTCGACCACGGCCTCTACTACCCGAGGTGCCACAGGCGGCACACCGCCGTCGGGTACGGCGGCGACGACGACCACGCCCGGCGACATCGACACCAAAGAAAGCACGGCGGGATCCTCTTCTTCCTCGGCAAGTGCCTCGTTAGCTGGCGATCGGTCAAGCGGCAGGTGGTGGCCTGTCCGGTGCGAGGCCGAGTACATAGCGGGCCTCCACCGCTTCGACTCAGCGCCTGGCTCGCTCGAATGCTTGGTGATCTCCTCGGCGAGAGACACTAGAGCGGTGGAGCTCTGGGGTGGACAGCAAGTCCGCTCTGCCCGGCAAGAACCCCGTGTTCCTTTAAGCGCAGACAAGCACATCCGGGTGAGGTACCACTTCATCCGAGGCTGTTTGGAGGAAGGGAGCATCAAGGCGAGCTACATCAACACCAAGGACCGACTATGGGACACCGCTCACCAAGCCCCTTGGGAGGATCAAGTTCCTTGAGCTCTGCGCCTCCAGGACGGGATGGTTCAACTCTCCCACAAGACGACGCACAAGACTTAGGGGGAGAATGATGGATAAGTCTCATGTGTGGTCTTTGTGGGGCTGTACTGCTCACATGGTCCTTGTGGCTGTTTTTCTGCTTTTAGGACAGCATCTTAGACTAGAGGACAGCATCTTAGAGGACAGCATCTTAGACTAGAGGACAGCATCTTAGCTAGGACAGCATATTAGCATCTTAGACTAGCATCTTAGACTAGCATCTTGGCATATGCTTGGCTGGCTAGCAGCCTATAAATATGTAACCCCAACCCCTCAGGTTGGCATGGCATTTGAGTAAGAAATAGACAAGAAAATTGCCCCAACTCCTAGTGTCATCCTCTCTCGATGAGAGTAAGAATTCTCCTACTACCAAGAGTGAGAATTCAGCGACTAACAGTGCTGATTGCTCTTTTTGTAGATAAGTTCTGTTTCCATCTTATGTGCTTATGTGCTTGTCTTTGCACATACAGGTTGGTGGTGAGCTTATGGATTTCATCATAGTGCTTCGTGGCCCAGAAGCTGTCCGAACTTTCTGCAGTCAAATACATTTTTCACTTGGGGCAGGTGTAAGTGCTGCAGCAGGACCTGTGGGCAGAGTACTAGAAGCAGACCTGAGAGCTGGTGATAAAGGATCAGGAGTTTGCTATACATATAGCTGCAGCAAAGGTAACTGTTGTCTTACTTTGTAACCTTTTGATGTCATGTTCAGTCTGCCAATGCTTTGGGCTTGTCACTATGGGAAAAAAATGTGCAATGACCATACAATTTATCAGAAAATGTAGCCTACAAAAGCGTTATTCACTTTTCCCAATTCATAGATTTAATGCATTGTCAGAATTGAATATTTGTTTGTTTAGATCTTAAGCACATTTGTTAACACCTTTCCTGATTGAGTACTAACATGGATGTTCTTTTGAGTTCATTTCCCAACTTCTGAGTATTAACCATTGGGAACAGTTGTTTGGGTACATGTCCTTCAGGGAAAATGTTCCATCATAGTCATGGATGAATCCATCTGCTCTGGCCTCTGGTTATCCGTAGCCACAACTAATTTCACAGTGTTTTTTTTTTTTACTTCCAGGTGCATTTATTGGTGTCTCATTAGAAGGGAATCTAGTTGCCACACGGATGGACGCTAATCTGCGCTTCTATGGTGACCCATATCTGACAACCAGCGACATTCTCACGGGGAATGTGGAACAGCCAAATGCTGCCAAATTTCTTTACACTGCATTGGATGATCTATACTCAGGGCTGGAGGATTGTTAGTGTACATACGTACTTTGATTATTTCGATTGTACAAGTTGTATATATCCACAAAATGCTTTCGTTTGTTTGGCAGGGCTCAATTTGTATCAATGAAAGAGTAATGTTTCATTCCCCTGAAGTTCTCTGTTTTTAAAAGACCCACCCTGAACTCAAATACCAGACATAGGCACTGAACGTACCAGTACTGCTGAAACCGTGCACAGTACATTCCCGACGCCGTTTTTAAGCTGTTTGTAACGGAGTCCGCCCGCCACGTCACCCCCCAATTGATAAGCGTATTTTAGCATATTTTGTACAAGAAAAAGTCAATTTTACAAACATTAACCACAATTATTAAATTACATACAAGTTTTTAGGAAATAAACTCGTACAATAGCTGTGTATTTAAAGTGTCTCCAAATTGATATTATCACCCTGTTCTGCTCATCTATTTTTCAGCTGGCTTGTGCTTATTTCGGTTTATTCTCCCTCACAGAAACACTATTGAATCAGCCGAAATACCACCAGCAGAACAGGATCATTAATTTCTGTAGCAAAATGCAATATACTGCAAGAGAAATTAAAGGTCAAATTTATTTCTATAACTTTTCTCTACTGAAAATATGTTTATCGTTATGAGATGGAGAGAGAGAGCAACGAGTACAATTGATTGCGTGTACTTCTGTAGAAGTATCCATATTTGTGTATTTGTGTTTACGTGCCTTGTGGCTCCGTCTAGCCAGCACTCGAGCGTTTCACGCTCTCTCGACACCTGATTTTTTTCTTCATCGTCTTCTTCCTCCTCCCGATGCTCTACTGCAGTCCACCGCTCCGCTGTGGCACGGTAGGATCTCGCCGAAGCTCCGCGGCCGCCCTACCATGCCCATGGTGTCCTCCTTCTCCCCTCTCCCTCCTTGTCGCCATCTTGGCGATGGGCGCCCCTGCCCTGACTTGGCCTAGCCACCTCCACCACTGCCGGAACCCTAACACCGCCCTCTCCCCTGTCCCCTCTGTCTGGCCGGCTTGCCTCCTTCGAGCCCCTTCTAGGTCCGTCGGAGTTGGGGAAGAAGAGGTGGAGAGGCCGGAGATAGAGAAGAATTAGAGGGAGATGAATCAAGTATTGAGAGAGAGGAACACTAAAGTGTCATTTAGCATTACTCAATTATTATTGACACATCTCCACGCTCGTCAAACAAAATAAACCGGAGTTATTATATTTCAGATGCCTAAATTTTCGAATACAATTTTACATGACTTACTAATATAATTAAGAAAATAGCACACAAGAGACAATTCATTAATTTTTTCTACAACAAAACAACGACAGAATCACATTTACATGTTGTCCGACAACATAAAAAATAGCGATATGACATACAGTATGTCATATATAGGAGACACACAGCCTTATGTCTTAATATAAAATGTCTCGATACATATATTATTATTACCTCACTCGGTGAAACAATGCCTCTGCAAGCAGTTCACGAGCTCGTAGACGTACCGCCCCTGCCGGCCAGCATCATCGCCGACGACCTCCTCCAGCAGCTTCCTCGCGTTGAGCGCGAGCATCTTCCCCTCCTCGCCCTCCACCACCATCACGCGCCTCACGGCCTCCGCCACGTCGTCCCTACCGAACGACCCGTCGTCGTCGCGCCGCGCCACCTCCACGCCGACGCCCCGCTCCGCCATGATCCGAGCGATGAGTCCCTGGTCGACGATGAACGGGAGCATGACAAGCGGGTGGCCGAACTGGAGACTCTCCACGACGGAGCCCCAGCCGCAGTGCGTCAGGAACGCGCCCACGGCCGCGTGCGCGAGGACGCGCATCTGCGGCACCCAGCCCGTGCACACGGCGCCGCGCCCGCGCGTGTGCGCCTCGAACCCGTCCGGCAGCAGCGGCGATGGCGGCAACATCGTCGTCGACGCGCCACCGCTCGGCAGGCGCAGAGCCCACAGGAAGCGTGCCCCGGAGAGCTCGAGCCCCAGGGCGAGCTCGTGCACGCTCGCCGGCGTCAGCGGCGCCTCACTGCCAAGCGCGACGTACAGGACGCTCCCCGACGGCTGCTCGTCGAGCCACTGTAAGGCACCCGATGAGCGTGCCGCCGCTTCATGAGTGCTACCGTTGCCATGGTCACCGTCGTCGCCGTCACGGCGATCGTCCGGCAGCAGGAGGCCGGTGGGCAGGACAGGCTTGCGGTAGAGCTCCGCGAGCAGGGGGAACACCCGGCTGGGCTCCACCTCCGGGCAGCTGCGTATGAACAGGAGGCGGCACCGCTGCTCGGTCCGCCAGAAGCGCTCGGAGTCCGCGACGCCGGACGCGTTGAGCTGGGTACCAGCGGCGATCCAGGCGGCCTCGTGTCGGCGGAAGGCGAGGGAAGCTGCTGGTGCTGGGGACGGGAACCACCTCGGCATCGGCATGAAGTCCTCGACGGTGACACGCGGGTGGTCGGCGTTCTCCTGACGCGGCCCGAAGTAGGCGGCCATGGTGGCCGTGGTGATTTGGAACATCGCACAAGCAACCTCGTGTTGCTCAGCGATGGGGCAGATCCAGTAGTGCGCGAAGTCGACGACGATCCAGTCGGGACTCCTCGAGAACGCAGCCATGGCGTCCTCCCCATCTCTCCGGCTGCCACCGGCGGCGCAGGCGGCTGCCAGGAAGTCCGCGAAGGGCGCGGCGAGGCCGTCGAAGGCGGTCTTGAGGAGGCCGACCTTGTCAGGCGGCACGTCGGCCGTGGACTCGGCGCCCTCGGGCAGCCCGTCCACGGCCGGCAGCGGCAGTGCCACCGTCCGGACGCGGCCGGACAGGGCGGCGGGCACCGGCGGCGGCGGGAGCCTGGAGACGTTCCTCGACGTGGAGACGAAGGTGACGGCGTGGCCCCGCGCCGCCAGCCGCTTAGAGAGCTCGAGGAACGGGATGAGGTGGCCGAACGCCAGCCATGGGAACACCACGAGGTGGAGAGGACCGGCTCCGGCTGTGGCTTCCTGCTCCTGCTGGTGGTGCTGCTGCTCTCCGGCCTCCGGCCATTGTTGCGATTGCCAAGCTAAAAAATGAAAAACGGATACAAATACTAGTGGTAATAATAATGGAGCTAATCAAGCATTGTGGGGGCCCTTGCCCATGCTTTGGCTCCTTCTATATCCGGGCCCTACTAGTTTGCGAGTTTGCCGATATATATTCGCTGCACTTGCTACTTCAATGACAGGTGGGACCATAGCTTATCTTTCAATGCAACTTTAGCAGCTAGCATATACGGAGTATATATTATTATATAGTTATTATTATAGTAACTCAATGTTCACAAGTCCTCTTTGTTGAAGTAGAAATCCTGCCCGTGGTACCGACACTGACGGCAACAGCACGAGCAACTCGTGGGTTATTAACTTATTATTCTAGCAAAGATAATTAGCATCGGAATTACGCAAGCAGCCTATGACGAAATGATGCCATCAACATTAATATTATTAGACTAGCAACCATATCCTTACATTACATAGAGTTTAATTTAAAATCGAACTTCATTTTACAACCGCCTCTGAAATTATAGAAATCCATAAACTTTCGGTGACCCCAACATCACATGCCCTGTTTGGTTCCACTTATAAGCGCGTTCGTGGTCGTCCATCACCGAAAATCCTACCAAACGGGTTGTGTCGCGCCCGCTGCAGCCAATCGCACATTGGCTCATACGCGAGAAATACACTGCGTTCTGAAACACGGCTGCACTCTGCAATACGAGGATCACGACTGATTCTTCCCTCACCCGACTCTGCTCCCTCCCTCTCCTCCAGATCCATCCACCGCCGCCACCCACCCCCCCTAGGCTGCTGCTGTCATCCATGCTGCTTGTCCCCAACTTGTCGGCGGTCAAATGCCAGTGCTACTGTCGCCGCCTCCTCCTTGGCTCCACGCCCGCCGCCCGCCCGCCCGGGACTCCTCTGTGAGGCTCCGAGCTCCCCACGTTGATTTTGAAGGACCAGATGTAAATAGAAACTTATCTCTGGTCCAGTTGCAAGGCTATAGACTCAAAAGAATAGTAGTAAACAATGCTGTGCAATTTGAGAAAAGTCCAGAGGTCCTAGTGCAAAATGTCCTACCCAAGATAATCGGGACAGCCAAACGCCTAGCTTATTTAGACATCAGATTCTCCAGATCATGGCTCATCATATAATCCTGCTCAGCTTATAAGTGAGACTCAGAAAAGCTAAACCATACTGGGCCATAGGTCTTTCTTATCTACAGCGTACTTGTGGCTTGCCTACGAAAATGCTAATGCTAGGAAGCGGGCGTCCAGGCGGCCGCACACACCGTTGGTGGGCCACGCGACCCCAGCCCAAGACCCACGCTCCTCCATTTCTAAATAAAAAAATCAGCTAGTCCACGTACTTGTTCTTATCTGCTTGCCTGCCGCCTCCGGCGCTTGGCCGCTGGCCCAGCCTGGTGCGGCGTGCTACCGCCTCCGAGGCGCAGCGCCAACGCGCCGTCGCCGCCATCCCTCGCGGCGCCTCCATCCCCCGCCGCGCCAAGCCTGTCCTCCGCTGCGCCCAGGGTGCGCTGGCCTAGGGCATGTAGCACGTGTTCACCCAGGCCACCGAGTAGGTCCTTGCCCAGAGGCACACCGGTGAGCTCCATGCGCTGCGACGATGTTGAGCTCCGTGATTCATCCAAGCAGCAATGTGACATTGCGTGCTGGAAACGCATGTTGCAAAAATATGTTTCAAGTGTTTCAGATGCTTCAGCTGGATGCTGCAAGTGTTTCATGTGGATGTTACAAAAAGTAGATCGAGATGTTGCATACGTTGCAATGGTTGTACACGTATGGTGCAAGTTTTTGTTCCCATTGTTTCAGTTATTTTTCTAGACGTATGTTGTACGTGTGTTTATCTGAATGTTGCACATGTTTCACATATATCTTGCATGTGTTGCATATATTTTACAATGGCTTTTTTCAAGTGTTTTTCATGTGTTTTTACGAGCGTTTCAGACGTATGTTGAAAGTGTTTCAATTGTTTTCAAACGTATGTTGCAATTGTTTTCAATTGGATATTTCAAAAGTAGATTGAGTGTTGCATCTCTCTCCTTGTCTTTCTGCTGCCTCGCCTCGGTTTCTCAAAGCATGTTGCAATTGTTTTCAATAAACGTATGTTGCAATTGTTTTCAATTGGATGTTTCAAAACACATGTTCGGGTGACATGGGCCCGTAAGGGGACAGGTGGTGTGGTTGGGGCGAGTCGCTCAAGCGGCGCAGCATCTGAGCGGGTAGGGTGTGTGGAACCGAGCAGGCGTGGGGTGTGGAGATCGGTGTCTAGACGCGGGCCTCGCGCCGGACGTTCGGACGCTAGTTGTTCCGTTAAGATAAAGATCGTCCCCACAGTCCACAAGTTCATCCTCAAGGCATAGAAATTATCACGTTCATAAAAAAATAATGATGAATTATCTAACCTGTGTTGGCGGTTTGGTTGGAAACTAACGGTTCGTGGGTAAAAACAATCTAGTAGCTGAAGTATATATAATTAACTGAGTTTATTCCAAAGCAGCGAGGGGCGTCCGCCGTCCAGTGTACCTCGTTATACCGGCTCGCCCTGTTCGCTTGAACTTATCAGTGTCGCTTATTATACAATGTTTGTCTCTCCCAATAAATCAGTGAACAATACTTTTCAGCTTGGCTTTTCAGCGAAGCGAACAGAGAATGAAAGTTGGCTGACGGCGACGTGTATATCATGATGCTGGGTTTCCGTTGCAGTACTACTAGGTTCCTTTTACTGGAATTCTTCGGCTAGAGGTGGAATATATTACTGCTGCTATTGTTTAGTTGGTCCCTAGTACACAATTTATGATGTAAGCTAACATAGTAACATTTGACCCCGTAATAATAAGACATAGATGACTGAAGATGGGCGAGCCACTGTGTTGAAAACTCGTTTATTTATTTACAACCAGGCATAGCAGATACTCTGTTTCCTTTTCAGAAACAGAGGATATTTGTGTGTCAATTGTGACAGCTGGAAAGGATTGAGCAGAGAATGGAGGGATCCGTACTTGCAAGATGGAAGAGCAAAGCAGAGTCAGCTTCAGAACCTGGCTTATCAGCCAATCAGCTCCAATCGGCTTATCAGCTGTATAAACCATTAGCCGAACAGACATGCGATGTTGATGCTGTCGACGATGCAGAGGATGTTGTCATGGTTGATCTCGCCTTTCCTCTCGACCTCGAGGATGTCGTCCACGGGCATGGCGCACCTGATCTCAGCAGTCTGAGCCATCACCTTCCTATGCGCAGTGCACACAGTGATGTTACTGTGCAATGTCGGGCGAGCCGTCGTTGGCCTACGACGACCGCACAGCATCTCCCACCCTAACACTAGAATGGACACGCAGGGGGTGGGGGGCTCGAGGCGCGGTGACACTGTGCGGGCGTTCCACGAGACCACGACGGGTGGCGGGCCGTTGTGCTTACCCGAGCCCGGCTGTAGTACATCGTTCATTGATTGGCGATACATATTCCTCCGTCCCAGAATAAATAAAGTCTAAGTTAAACACTTTTAAGTTTAACCAAATACCTCTATTATCTTTTATTAGGCGTATACTTATTTTTATTTTTGACGCTATGTTAGACGTGGGGTTGGTGTTGAAAAACTGGGGGTTTCCAGCAAGCGATTTACTGTAACACTCTCGGTGTTACGCCCTAAACAAACTACTAAATCATATCACGAGCATCATGTTTACGTAATAATGCATGTGATAGAAAGTGTTGATAAATTTCTTGTAGTCTAAAATGACAAATAAAAATGTTAAATGGAAATTTATTCAATAACTCATGTTATATCAAGTAGGGTGGAAAAACCAATTTTTATTGAGCAAAAATACTATAGAACATGTGTGTGATACTTAAATAAAGTTTGAAGTACAAACTTTGTAGATGACAATGAAATACTTGCTGTGAAAAAAAATAACATTGCTAGCTAACATTTCTAATAGCTTAAAAATAGAACTTGAAATCAAATTTAGCTCAAGGACTTAGAAGAATTTAAGTATATATAAGCAGCAAGACAATGCAATGTTTGACGATTTATTTTGTGAAATTGAGTTAGGAGGTGGTGTCGTATTTTAGCTCGGGTTGGTAGCCTAATATGCTCTCTGGAGCATGGTGAAGATGGTTTAGGCTCAAGAGCAACCATTTAGTTGTTATAGGCGCTTTAAATTTCGTGCGCGACACGTTCTGGAGTTGGTTGGCCGGGTGGGCGCGGTCACCACGTCCTGGGAGCGCAACGTCGCCTCACTGGCTCGCCCCACGCGTGCACGCGCGTTGCCGTGCGAGGTTGTTGTCACCGTGGCGCCATGCTGTGCTGCTGTTGCTAACACGGCCGAGCGGCGTTGCCGCATTGCCGACTCGGCTCGTGCCATGACGCAGCCGCTACCGCTGCCGTCGCATCGCCGTCACGTCCGCTCCTGTCCGCTGTACCCTTACCCCACCGCTGGCCCGGTTAGATGCCACGCGCATGTGGTCGAGCTCACCGTCGCCATGCCATTTATGGCACTGCGGCCGCGTGGGCTATGTCGGTTGTGGACGCGTACAGCTTGTCCGTAGCGTCTGCACGCGTGTCTCCCCAATCACGCCGGCCATGTGCCGCCAAGGCAAGCTGAGCCCACCTGTCGTGCCCCGTCTCTCTCTCTCTCTCTGCTGCCGCCATCGGAGCCGCGCCAGCATGTTAGACATCGAGTGATCACCTCCATTCAAATCAGCACGTCTACGGCTTCACCATCAAGTTCTCTAGCTGTCCAACCCCACCCAGCCATGAAGCACGCACTGTCGAGCTCCAATTTGGCGCTTTTCCTGCCGCCATGCTGATAAGGCCGCGTCCGGTCGCGGACGAGGGCACCCCCCTACCATCCGCCCCGATCCAATCCACCTGCACCACTAGCTTCACCTTGCCTCCCTCTCCACCTTGCGCATGCTAGAGGAACCGCTATCGCCTCCCCGTCGCCGTTGACACGACCACGCCACCATGGTGCGCCACAGCAAGGCTCGGCCACACGTGGCCAACCCTCCTCCGCCATCCTCCACTCCAACCGTCACCTCGTCCTGACCCATGGTAGCCTCCTGATGCTCACGAGCTAGCCAGTTACGTCCGTAGCAGCCCCAGCTCACCGGAGCGGGTGCGCCGCCGCCACAGATGGCCGCACATCGCTGCAGATCAGTCCAGCATGTCCCACCACCTCGTGTTGCTACTTGGTGTTGGCGGTTGGACTGTAGTCAAAGGTCGGCTCGACCGACGGGCCAACACGAGCCTCTGGTGGCTGGCGCGGTCGCGCCCGTCATCATCGCTTCGCCATGCCGCCATCTGTTGAGTCCTTTGAGGGTACGCTTGGGTGAATTAGGAAAAGATCGGGGGTTAAGTGAGAAGGTCTATGAGAGGGAGAAATACTATTAGGACTTTGGTGTGATTAGGGAGGAAATCGAGGGGCGTGGTTGCAAAAAAGCATGTGGCGCAGGCGCCTCGGCGTGGGCGGCCTTGCGTGGGCCCGCGAGGCGGGTTCTTTGCATGCGTCTTTGCGTCGCGTGGGCCGCATGTTGTGGGTCGTCTGCGGAGAATCTGTTTTTTTTTCAAGGAATTAGTAAATAGTTTTCTAATTTAATTTTGAGAAGTGATCTTTGGTAGTTAATATAAAATCATGTAGGTGTCCAAAATTGTGAAACAAATTTTGTTAGGTTCTAAAATTGTGATATATCTGTTAGTGTATTGAGTTCATGTTTATATGTGTTGACACTAGGAGCTATTAAATAGTATGAGAATGCTTAATATTATTAAGTTGATTATTGTAGGAATTTTTGTGGTGAATTGGTGATAGTTTTGATCCATAAATTTTTACAGCAGTTTCATTGTATTATTATGTGTTCACTGTAATTTTTGTAGCCTTAGAATAGACTACGCATTAGGATAGTTAAATGTCTGTGTTTCAATATACATTAAATCATTTGTAGAAATAAAGATGTATCCTTAATTTGCAAGGTCAAGTGTTTGTTAGTTGAACCCAACACTTTGCTTGATGAAGAGGATAGTTAGCTTAGTATCTTAGTCATTAGAGCTAGCTTAGTAGCTTGATATGTGTATTCTTATTTTAAGAGTTGCTGTTGCCTAAATGCTAAGTGTTGCATCATTATCGCATGCATATAGAGAACGAGTTGGTGGAGATAGTGACCACCGACGATCGCGAGTTCGAGGAGATCATCGAGGAATACGAAGAGGAGATCCTCGTGAGGGAGGAAGTCCCGGAGCCACCAACTGACTCAGTTGACACCGCGCCTACCCAAGGCAAGCCCCAATACATAACCCATTATTTTTTATAATCACTGTATGTATATGTTATGTGCATTTATGTTATAGGAATCTTATGAAAACCATCTGCATAGATATAACTGTCCTATGTGTCCTACTAGTACAGGTTCGAGTAGCTACTATGCTTAGGTTTTCGGTAGCGTGAGTAACCTACCGTTACTCACAATAGGTGATTATTATAATTACTCCCATGATAAAATAATGAAAGGAAAATAGAGACCGGGCAGGGATATGGTATGGGTTATGGTGGGTGTGGCGAGTTATGTCCCGCGGGCACGGGGCTTAGCTTGGTTACACTATTTTCCCTGTCCGTATCGATTGAGGACTGACCATTGTTGTGGATGGTAGTTAGGTCACAGACTTATTATCCTAAGCACATACTTGCTTATGGGAGCGGGAAAGCTCGTTACGCTCTTGTCGTGGGTTCCGGCTCTTTCCGGGCCGACTAATTGGAGGCAGGGAAAGGTGGACGTCTAAGCACCATATTTAGACCGGGTCTCAAGTGTGGGGGCTTAGAGTCCAAGTTTGGACGGGGACCTAGACCCCATGATAGGAGTGTAATGGGTTGGTCTTGTTTGTGCCTAGGGTACAAACGGGGTGTGTATTTTGGGGCACTCAGCCTGGATACATTGGTTTGCGAATCACTGTTTCCATGAGACGGTGTGACTTGGCTATGGTCTAGCACCATAGTAAGAACTGGAAGATGAAAGATAGTGAAATGGTTCTGATTGCTCAACCCTTGCTTGAAAGTAGAACATGCGCTTACCTAGAATGGTTAGCTAATGAAGTAATAATGACTGCTAATAAAACTTGACTGTAAGGATGAACTATTAGTAATGCTTTCCGCAAATAAAAAGAAAAAAACAAACCTTACTACCTATCATACCCTTGGAGTCGGGAAACTATTCCCACTAGTCGAGTAAGTCTTGCGAGTACATTGTATACTCAGGGTTTTTTTACCCTGTTGCTTATGCAGCTCGAGGAGTAGCTCTTGTGTGGAGGATTCTTCTGGTGGGCACCGATGGATCCTTGTATCATTTCTGTTAGACGTTTATTTCAATTCCGCTATTTAATTATCGCACTCTGAACTCTGGTATTGTAATAAATAATTTCCAAGAACTCTTGTTGTATGAAATGGACTAAGTATTATAAACTTGTACTCATTATTGGATTCTGGATGCAAAACGTGGATTGTTTCGAGTTCTCTCTTGGGGTGTGCTGGATGGAACTATCCGATGTAGCTAACTTTCGGAGTGCTTAGTGTCTAGTGGAAGACGAGCACCTCCGAAAGCATGTTATTTCAGGCGGTTCTGCCACATGTACGGAAGGCCTTCGCTTAGTCGGGTGGTCTGGGTGAAAGGATGTGAAATGGAGGGTGGGTCCTTGCTGAATCAAGGTTTCATTAATGTATTCACCAACCTCTCTTACATAGCATCCGGCTTCCCCTTTTATAGGGCACTGCTTGCTACTACTTCATGGTACAAATTTGCTCTTTGACAGCTAACGTACATTTCTAGAATATCCTAACACCAGTACAAATCCACAAGGGCATCTCGGGTCTTGTCCACCTACACCGCCTTTGCTTCTTGGGCCTTTGCCTCAGGTCCACAGGAGGCCCGTCTCCGATCTTGGGCCGCGATGTTGTGAAGACCCCTTTCTCTCGGGCAAAGACAACATAGCCTCTGCCTGAGTCACTGGAGCCTCCGCCTTCGCTCCTGAGTCTCTGCCTATGGACTCCTCTGGACATCTTTAGAGTTGTGCTTAGGCTTCTATCCTACCGATGGCCAGTGGCGAAGGCCTTCTTGGTGCTAGCGGAGACCTTCCAGGTTTCTTCCCAAAACGTGAGTGGCCTCCGCTTGAATTGTTGGGGTCTCCGCTCCATCACAGGCTCCACGCAAAGGCTTCGCCTAGCATCCCTGCAAAAC